AAACTTTGCAAACTCATTATACATTTAAGAAGCTTTGTCAGCTCGTAATTTGAAGTCACAGCTGTGCATAATGGCTAAATCCGCTTTCATACCATGATTATAAAAAGGTATATCATGTAAGGTCATCTGATAATCTTTAAAATCAATCCTTTTTACGTCAAAGCTACTCAAATAATAAACATAATCATTATTTTCCACTTATTCTTGATTTTATGAAAATAATTGTGGCATTGGCTCACACACACACACACACACACACACACACACAAGCATACAGATTGACCAGCGACCCGCTAGTGAAAATTTAATTATTAAATAAGAAAACATAGTTTTAGAAAATGAATCCATGGAGAGTGTTTCCTTCACTAGACCATCTGTTTGATGATTATGTTTTTATTCTACATTGTAACGCATAAGCCGATAATTTAGTCCTTTCTATTAGTGACTTCTTTCCAGGCTTATTAATTCAGAATGAGCAAATTAAACGATGTAAGCAACAGTGAGATTTTCTGCTGATAAGAAGGCTAACTAACACTTGAATAAACAGACTCACATTTTGACAGCTCAATTACCTCACTAATCTGATTAATCAATAAACTATATGATTTAATAAGGTGCAACACAAGATTACTACTTTTAACAAAATGATACCTGAAGACATAAGAAAGAATGCTGACGAAACTAAATGAGATAGTCAAGGTTTGTTAGACTGGTCTTTGCACAATGCAGTAACGACTCAGGTTGAAATGAACACGTTAGTCGCAAAAATTCGAATCCTGCTGCGAACAAGGTTTCGTTTCAACACCAATCATCACGCCTTTACATAATGAGATCTTTCTAGTGTTAAAGTTTTTAAAGACTCAGCTTCTCGTTGTTTTCCTTCGATAGTGTCGGATATTCATGATGTTCATCTTGGCGACTAGTAGTGGAATTCAGGAGGTGCATTTCATCCTATTTGGACATCGTTAGTTGGAGGTACCAGCACATATGTGAGTCATGTTGCCCCCCACTGAAACTCAAACCCGGTACCCATCACTTCAAACGCCAAAGTGTTATCAACTAGGTCACTGAGGCACAACAGCTATCACTTGTGCAACGGATATTTGTTGTAGCTGTTAACTACTTGTGATTTCCCGTTGCTATACAGGGTCGAAATGTCCGACCTCTCTGTCTCATGTACGCAACCAATCAAATTCACTTTTGTGAAATAAATTTTCACAAGTCTTATCGAGATGACCACATCGATTCAAATGATCGGGAACCATTTGCTTCGGTAAGAGCACCCGGGAAGTATCATAGTTCAAATACGAATTACTAACGAGTATTAGCAATAAAGTACACAAAGTGTATTCCAAATCTTCCCAAGAGGAACTTTCTACTTTCCGTTCAAACTGGACTTTAGTATTCTAATATACTTTAATAGCTTGTTTTTCATCGTATAAGCAGGCAGGTAAAATACTGTATTTCTGTATCCTGATTCGTTGGATGAACTACTTTTTGATAGTCAAATCATCCGAAATTATCACGACAAAGAGAATAAAAGATACACCAGAAGTAGTGAGGTGAATGAAACTAAAATCGATATCATTGTTATCGTCCAACTATTACTCTAGCCTCCTTTAGTTTTACACTGTTAACAAGCTTCTTAATTGATGTTCATTTACTTTGTTTCAAAATGATGTAATTTTTAATCTTTTCAGTATTCATATTCTCATTGTTATCATTACTATTATTATTAGAACAAGGCATATAAGCGGACAATATTGTTTTCAATTAGATCCTCTACAGGCTTTAATATAAATAGCTTAATTTATACATAATTAAACCAATCATGTAGATTTTTCAGTTGATGTTATAAATGTTTTAAAATAACGATGGTGATAATAATACAAATGATAATCAAATAATCAATATTTTTGTTCACCTAACACCTATGTTCTCTTAGTGTGTACCTTTATCAAGCTATCTAGCTGACTACCAATCATTCTGTTCGAAATGATGTAATCCATCCCTAGTCATTTTATTTTTCATTATCAATTCACTACGCCCTGGCAACCTAATCCTAGCTCTGCTTGACATAGGTAAATGATTCACTCCGTGTTGCCATGCCTCAGTCAATGACTTAGTTTGTATTATGTGTGTATGCATTCCCTTATTGCATAACACTATATAAAATTATGTTTGTAGAGTAAAAAGCTGAAATTCTGCCGAAGACATGCAGTTTACCTAAAACATGATAAAACTAGATAACGAAGAATAACCAGCGGTCGCTGGTTCGGGTCGGTCTGCGGTCCAAATTCTCACCTCACCTTCATCACCCAGTATAAAATACTAGTCTGCCGAACTACGGCTATCTCAGATTGTCAAATGATAATATGCAGCAAGTTAAATTTGAGGGTTTGTGGGGATTTAGAGATATTTCAAGCTGGTATTCATCGTAGACTGACATCAGTTGGAGGAACAATGGAAACCTCGGAGCACTGGCAACTGTTTCGTCCTAGTATGGGACTCCTCAACAGTGGGCAACCATGAACCCACCAAGGATCGAACCCGTGATCTTCAGGACATGTGGCCAGCACGTTACCATTCAGCAACTGGGTCGGAACCTAATGCTCCATATTTCCAACTTCTGTCAGTTCATGACATAGTGCGACCGCCAATCAATGTCATCGTTGAGTATTAGTCCTCACGACCACCAGGTTAGCCCTACTGGTGGCGACATCGCATTGGAACTTCAGGAATCACCTCTCGTAGCTAGTCACCAATGAGCACTAGTCCAATCAAATTTGGAGGTTTGTGTGGATTTAGAGATTTTTTAAAAGTTGGTATTCATCATAAACTGACTTCAGTCCCATACGAGGAAGAAACAGCTGTTCAGTGCCCCCAGATATCCAGTAAGACCTGATGTAAACTTCAGGAAAAGCACCAACCCATAATTTAACAGGTTTTCTTGCCAACAGGAGACAATTCACGGTTAAGAAAAGACGATTCAGAACAACAAAACATATGAGGAAGATATACGGGTTTTCATATAAGACTGCTTATTTGATATAATAAACAGTGATACAGTGTTATTTACTGAATGATAACCTAATCTATCAAATATCATGTAATGATTGTGAGATCAAGTATGTGTCAGAGAAGCCGATCTGGGTCAGTCAGAATAGAAGAGCACAAAAATTTAACTAAGCACACAATGGTAGACCCTACTAATATAAGTAATTTAGAGCAGAACTCGGTTGTCGCTTGGCATGCACTGACCCAAAATGAAATCATAGGATCAAGAGAAGGGTAGTAGACAAGACAGGTAAGTCGATTGATGAGGTTGTGAACCTCGGTCGGTTGAGATGGTTTCGTTATAAGTTGTGCATGCCAAGTCACCACCCAACTCGACTTGCCATGCAACAGGAAGTTGGACTGGGTTGTAAGAGAGTTCAGGGTGATCAGACCAAGACATGGTACCAGTCGATGAAGTCTCTGGTTGTTGGTCTGAGTCATGCGAGGAAATGTAGACTGCGTGGCTGGGGTCCCCGAGACAAAGGTAATCAGTGGTTGATGCATCTTAATGAGATGACTGGGAATCGGTCACAATGGCATAGATACATTCACTGCATGACATTTTCTAATGCTTGAATATTTGGGCTAACCGTTATCTTCAAATTAATCATCCTCTCACACAACTTTATCTACTTTGATATCACTCTTTTTTATCTACTTGTTTTTTGTATGCGCTACTGTGAAGTGTGGCAGCTTGAATCAATGAACTTATGTGAGAGGTTCTACGTTAATTTTGTCCATCTTTCTCTCTGTCTGATACTATAGGGATAGAGTGACAGTTCTAAAATCCAATATAGTTTGGTGGAGGGAGATATTGATCACAAAATGCATAACTCGTTACATATTGCAAATATCTGGAAAATTTTATTACTATTATTAATATTAAAAAAATGAAAATATTTTTGAGTATAATAAAGGAAGCTTGAAAGTCACATGACAACTTTGATATGAACGTAAATTCTCGAAACGTTATCCAACAGATTGTGCTCCACTAAATAAACAGTCTAATATGGAATTATACTCCACTACAATGCCCAAGTTATGCTTTTACACTAGTATACTGCTTTATACTGACGCTGTTGGTCTGCACAAAAAAAACTCAACATGCCTATGAATACACTTAAAAAAGACTTGGGAGTAAAAATAATTTGAAAGACCAAGCACTCCAACAACGGATATTGGACTAGCTAGGTAATATTTTCAACTCTCGCGCAGTGTATGGCTCATTGCCTAGTGCAAGTACTTGAACACGGTTGCTGATCCAACAGAGAGAAATATTAAAATTATAACCAGTACGTGAAATAATTTCGCTCAGAACACCCCTCAAAAGTAAAAAATTAAGATTTGTCAACATTCATGAAGAATTTACTGATACAGACAATTTAGCAGTGGAAATAACAGTGTACGTTGTCTCTTCGCTGCGTATTTAAATTCACTGACAATCCGAATGGTTATTTGTAGCAGTGAAGAATATTTGTTGATTTATAAGTAGCGCAGAGTTGCTTTGATTTTAGCAGTAGCCTACTTTTCTGGAGAATTTCATTAAACATACCTCTTTGTTGGATGTACACTTATTGGTCATAATGATATCGATAGTTTGAAATAAATATGCAAGGTATTGTGAATGCTTTACAATGAAATGTCTGACTGTGGAAAAGATGAAGGACAACTCTATAATCTATCGGCCAGCACACTCGTGCAGTAGGCAATGGGGTACACTTACTATATGAGGGTTATTGATATTACCTGACTGCTTAAACCTCGGTAGGTGAAGTCGTGTTGGAACCCGTGACCCACTGGTTGAAAGTCATCTCCTTAAACTAATGAGCCACAACTCCACAGACCAAGAACTAACAAGAGACATCACTATCTGTAATAAACACAATTTGAAAATTATTTGGTAAAACATTAAATTGGATTTTAAAAATTAACAGTGTGCTAACCTGCTCATCTGATGAACAATGAGTATCAAAGTCCGAAACTGAATCATAATGACACCCGTTAGCCGATGATTTATGCTGTAGGCAAAGTGTATCACTGAACTTTGATATCGATGCTTGGTGTCTTTTAATACTTCGTATTGGAGAAGGAAAGGTAGAAGAGTATGACGAGGAAGTTGGTGAAGTAGATGAATTTTGACAAACTGAACTGTTTGTGACTGAAGCAGTTTGCATTGAATGGTTTTCGTCATAAGTCACAGATTCATGTGAATAAAGTTTTAATGGTTGACACTGACACACTTTCCGGGACATTGAAACAGACTGACTGACCCGCTCCAGCAATCTTCTTATAGCCTGTAAACATAACAATGCATGCCAGAAGAATACAATTAATAGTAGTCAAGAAAAGTTGGATAATATGAGTAGAAACGCGAAGTAAACATTTTCAAGACTACTTCTCATTGCTGATTTTAAAACTTGGTAGGTTGAAATCACTGTGAACTCTTTACTTGGATGCCACGATATTACCGCTGGTGATGCCTAAAGCTGGAATTCACAAGTGCATCAGTTTTATGTTCCTGCACCTCAATGAGTGTAGGCGATCCGACTAGCAATTAGACTCACTTTCCATAACTGTAAACAGCAATAGAGGTTGGACAATTCTGTCAGTTAAATAACAATGATAGTGTCAAGCTGATGTTCATCGTAGACTGACATCAGTTGGAGGAACAATGGAAACCTCGGAGCACTGGCAACTGTTTCGTCCTAGTATGGGACTCCTCAACAGTGGGCAACCATGAACCCACCAAGGATCGAACCCGTGATCTTCAGGACATGTGGCCAGCACGTTACCATTCAGCAACTGGGTCGGAACCTAATGCTCCATATTTCCAACTTCTGTCAGTTCATGACATAGTGCGACCGCCAATCAATGTCATCGTTGAGTATTAGTCCTCACGACCACCAGGTTGGCTCCACTGGTCATGATTTCTCATCTCTCGAAGTTCCAATGAGAAGTCGTGACCAGTGGAGTCTGGTGGGGTCGTGGTTGCCCACTGTTGAGGAGTCCCATACTAGGACGAAACAGTTGCCAGTGCTCCGAGGTTTCCATTGTTCCTCCAACTGATGTCAGTCTACGATGAACATCAGCTTGACACTATCATTGTTATTTAACTGACAGGATTGTCCAACCTCTATTGCTGTTTACAGTTATGGAAAGTGAGTCTAATTGCTAGTCAGATCACCTACACTCACTGAGATGCAGGAACATAAAACTGATGCACTTGTGAATTCCGGCTTTAGGCATCATCAGCGGTAATATAGTGGCATCCAAGTAAAGAGTTCACAGTGATTTCAACCTACCAAGTTTTAAAATCACCAATAACAGCAGTAAAATTTTCCAGATATTTGCAATATGTAACGAGTTATGCATTTTGTGATCAATATCTCCCTCCACCAAACTATATTGGATTTTAGAACTGTCACTCTATCCCTATAGTATCAGACAGAGAGAAAGATGGACAAAATTAACGTAGAACCTCTCACATAAGTTCATTGATTCAAGCTGCCACACTTCACAGTAGCGCATACAAAAACAAGTAGATAAAAAAGAGTGATATCAAAGTAGATAAAGTTGTGTGAGAGGATGATTAATTTGAAGATAACGGTTAGCCCAAATATTCAAGCATTAGAAAATGTCATGCAGTGAATGTATCTATGCCATTGTGACCGATTCCCAGTCATCTCATTAAGATGCATCAACCACTGATTACCTTTGTCTCGGGGACCCCAGCCACGCAGTCTACATTTCCTCGCATGACTCAGACCAACAACCAGAGACTTCATCGACTGGTACCATGTCTTGGTCTGATCACCCTGAACTCTCTTACAACCCAGTCCAACTTCCTGTTGCATGGCAAGTCGAGTTGGGTGGTGACTTGGTGTAATCCTTCAACAGTGAGTGAAGATCAGAAGGCTTAGAGTTATTCTGAAATAGTGGAGAATATTTGTAGCTCAGGTGGATGGTTTTGGTTGCATTGTGTTCTCTAAGCTGGGTTGTTGTAATTCGGTTACATTTACGATAGGTATAAACACACTGAAAGCTTACTACCCAGATATTTCAGATAAATACATCTACGTATATTGAAATCACTGAGAGGTATGTTGATGTGCCGAATACGTTTAAAAAATACGTTCAAAGAGTGAATCTCCTAAAAGTGGACCATGATTTAATTCTGCTGATTAAATTTTCAAAGCGCACACTTAAAATATCACTTCTGTACACATCAATGAAACGGAAATAGTTATCATTTGTTTATTAAATTGTAAATGGATGATTTCTCTTGATTATAAAGATTACATGAGAAGTAACAGTACCTGATCCTTACATACTATTTAGAGTACAATGCCCTTTGTGCTTAAAAGAATGGGACTAGAAAAGATTTCAAAGTTTTTTGACGTCAAAGTAGGCTCGAGATCGGACACCGCCTGACTAAAACAATTAGCTTAAATCACTGTTGTTGTATTACTGTAGAATCTATGTGAAACCTGTTTGGTGTTGGATATGAACGGCCTTTATTCACGGATATGTTAGATTTTTCAGAAAGGAATTCGATAGAATCTTAGTACCGGTTATAACGTGATGAGTTAAACTTCCTATACTTCACTGTAGTAATTCAGGAAAAGTCTTTAGGGAATCAATGAATATAATGACTGTTTTTGCCAGAATTCATCAGTCACTGGTACAATTTTGCCGATGAATCCATGTCAGTGTATTTATTCATACAATATGACTGTTATTATAACTGCCTAAACTTTGATTCGTTTCCGGTGTTATTTCACTTAATTGTAAATCTTTTTAGAAAACACTGGTTTCATCTTGATCAACTTGTCTAATCTTACTACATAACACTTAATTGATTTGCCACCCTGCAGGTGAGAGAAACAGAACACAGAAGATTGGGATCGGACTTTCATGAGTTTCTTCACCCCCCTCCAAGTTATATACCCTTTATGAACCATTCCATGTTACGTAATCTACTTTGCTATCATTCATACTTCAATTGTTATCGTAATCACAAATGCCCATGTCATCATCCCTTTTATTATTATTGTTTTCCTTACGGGATATAATTTTTCAAATATCATATATATACGACTGTACAGCTTGAAAATAAATTCATTGAAAAGAGTCTCTTCGCTGAATATCTTGTTCTTGATGTTATAATTGGAATTATTAAATTATTGAAAAACTGTAAGCGGTTATTGAGTTATATTACACTCCGAAATACACAAGTAAAATATAAATTAGGAGAAAACAGTTTCCCACCTAAATTCATAGATAATAACTTAAAGTCAAGGAATGCAACTGAACAAACACATTTAGCGTCGAAAAGACACTTTTGCAGAAACTTGAATTTAAAAATAAAATCGCTGCAAACATCCTCAAAAATAACCACAAAGATCCTTAAATAAAAAATACTCCGCTGCTAACTTTCGAATCATGTTCTCCTGTAATAAATTTCTTGGTTGACGTGTGAAAGACAAGCTGATGGATTGGGCCACATCAATGTATACATATCAGTTTACTTGCTCCTGTAGAGCTGAATACATAGGCTGCACCATGCGTCCGCTTTTAAAATGTGCTCGAGAACCCTATCCAGTTTCGTTAGTAAAGAGAGAACGGAAATGCATCTTCAGTTCAATAAGCATAAACTCTTCACTAGAGGTAAATAAAACTTTAAAAGAAAAGGATATGAATTAGGAAACATCATTCCAAGGTATAAATAAAACATACCAATCGTAAAGCTCGTTTCGGAGGAAATTCGTTGTCTTCATCATCAGTATGAGAGGAATCTGATGAACTTTGAGAGGAATCTGATGAACTTTGAGAGGAATATGTTGTAGAGAATAAATTATTATGGGTCGATGAAATGACTGAGCTCTGATCAGAAACTAAAGAGTTACATTTCTGACCAGGGGCACTGTTAACAGGAAAGTGTCTACTACGCTCAACTGATGGTTTACCTATTTGTTTACAATCAGACGACGGTAGCTGAGAATTATTCAAATCACCAGGTAGGTGAAAATAACGAAGCTGAAACAAGAATTAAAAGTAGGTATTGTTTACAAGATACAAAACATGATCATTTTAAATACATAATGCAGGAAAGTTAATCAGTAATTCTGCGTAAATGGATAAAAATAAAGAAAATCAGAATTTTAAAGACAACAAACAAGTTATGGCACTAGTGTAGCTTGCCTTTATGCAACTCGCTCCATTATTCTTTTCAAAAAACGACAGGAGAAACAAATCCCTCAGCAGAATATGATAAATCCTTTGTGATTTGTTGTCTCCGCTTTACTTACATAAATGCTATTATGAGTCAATCAATCAGTTAAGGCTACGATTAGGGGCGGATGAACATAAATAATGTCTAAAACAAATTTGAAATACCTCAGTAGACATTCACAGATTGGATAATAAGCCGGAGATAGGACTATATTCGATAGAAACGAGATACAAAATTGATTTCGATGGGACCAAAGTTTTACAAAAAGGTTTTTTATCATATAAAACAAAACTGACTACCGAGGTGTAACATATACGGGATAATCCTAACAGCTTGAATAGATGAGACGGCGTGCGGCTGGCTGCTTTGTGGCAAATAAAGGTTACTAAATAAACGTAGAGCAACCTAAACATGCATTTGTATAGTTCATATAAATTAGCAGTAATTTCCCATTCCATTCTATTCCTATTTGCACCAATTTGTCATCACCATCCAAATTGTCACCTACAATAAACGATGTGCTATCAATCACCATGGAACGACATCAGTTGGGAAACCACTGAAAACCTAGGAGCACTGGATAGACATTTCGTCCTAGTATCGGAGTCCTCAACAGTAGGTACTCACGACCCGGTTAAGGATTGAACTCAGGACCTTCAGTTCTCATGCCAAACGGGCTAATCATTCAGCCACTGGGTTAGAGTTTAATGGTCCACAGTTTCCTACTTGTCACTTTTGCTACCTTAAACATAAAACCTTTGTTGACCTCAAAATATATTATTCTGCAATAAGTTGGAAACACATTTGATCCACGGTTAATTCTTTAATGTCACGTTTCCCACCTCTTCCCTCCTACTACCTCTTTCTCTTGTCGTCAATTTATCAGTGTTCATTATTATTCCATATTAGATTTGTTTGTTTGATATAAAGCGCACAGTGATAGTATCAAGTAAATAATACTGTATCACTGTGCGCTTTATATCAAATAAACAAATCTAATGTGGAATTACATTCTACCACAGTGCCCAAGTTTTTCACTTATATTCATTATTATTATTCACACATAAACATACCCTTTGTTGAACTGCACCTGGTCATGAACGAAAAATATACTTAGACAGTCATCGGTGACGGGTAGACGGAATTAATACACTACCATACTATTTTCGCCCGAAATCAATGCAGTGTGCAAGATTCTCTTCACCAACGACTCATGAGTTGAAACTAATACCAGTTAACTTTGCCTTCTCAGCTAAATCTTTGTACATCATGTTATCTGGTACGCGTATCAGCTTCTGAAATAGCATATGATGAACCGTCTGTCAGCACATAACAGTTAGGAATTCTCAACCAAAAACAATCCAATCAGCTTCAGTGTTCGAAAGTTTTCTTCAACTTTATGGTTTTATGAAACATCATAAGTACATAAAGGCGATAAGACGACCAACGATATAGTTTATCATGTGAACGGATACGTGAAACGAAAGATGATTTACTTTTGAAGGTACTATTTTATTTGGAGCAGCTAAACTCATGAAACAGGCATAACATGATGCTAGTACTCGTAAACAACAAGCATGTACTGTAAGCGCAACAGTTTATGATACCATTCGACTACTTGATTCTAACTGCAAAGCAGTGGCTTAACTTGGAACGACATTCTCACACTAAGACGTAATATGAAGAGTAGAAAACTAAACTAAACGTTAAAACTACAGAAGAATCCGTTGCAAATGAATAGCTAAGACCTTTTGTATCATAATGTTTGGAAGATTTAGGCTTGAATAGCGAACATTCATACACTCAAAACAAAACAAATTGCCATTTACACAGGTAATCTCAGTTTGGTACTCACACTATTAAGCAGTCAGTGACTGTATAAACATGAAAAGAATTTACAAGTCGATGAAGAAAATACTAATCGGCTACAATGAGACAGTTAGTTGGATCACGTGAATAATAAGAGAATGCGCTAGCAAAGAAATCAATCTACTATATATACCAGGTAACTAGGAGGACTCTTCCCTTGTTTCTGATGTTCGTGTCGATAATATTGTTTAGAAAATGATATAAGCTTCACGGCTAAACCATTCACCTCAAAAAAAAAACACCGTCAAAACACATTTCGCATGTTAACTACACTAGTTCATTCTTATTTTCGCGTGTCGACAAATTTCTTTAATATAACTGACTTCAGGTTGCTTACACATTATATTAAAAGAACAAATGCTCTGTGTCATTTTAGAATTGTGTTTTTCACCTTAGTTAAATTTTTTTCTTTACAGAATTAGAAGGCTTGAAATAAACTTTAAAATCGCAGAAAGAAAATACTGGCTGACATACTTACTTGATATGATATCGTTGCGATTTTATTGGGTCATTTTTTCACCTTAAATTCCCATGACAACACTGAGACCACAATTGGTTTGAGTGAATACATATTTTCGTTAAGTTTTCATGAGACTCAATGTATAACTATGAAATTGTGATGCATTATAACATACCTTGAAGCTAAGGTCTTTCTTTAGGACCTTTACTTCTACTTCCAGCTGAGAGGCTGACAACCCAATTTGACTTATAGATCACAAATATATGTTACCAGTTACCAAAAGCATATCATTAATGATCTTGCAATATAACATGCGCTTGGAGTTTTCACATACGATTAGTAAATGTACATAACTTACAGTGCAATCTGTTGCATAGTGGGATACTTGACCGTGGTATACAGCACAGTCGAAATTGATCAACAAATAGATAGAAGTGAATTTAAAATGTAATTAAAACAGAAAATGAGTGTTGAAATCAGTTGTTCGGTGGACATAAAGGAGACTTTGTAAGTTGTCTATCAGATCTCAAATCGAGTACTAGATGAGATTCACATTAGTTTCTTTAGATAACCGAAGCGTTTATCATTAAATAAGTGAAAACAAATGAAAACGTGCACAGAAGAAATTTGTCCAAACGCTTAGTTTCCCTTCTTACTGAGATGATCATAATGTGATTTTATATTTACCTTGGTGACTAGCAGTGGAATCCAGGACGTGCGTTTCGTCTTATTTGGGACTCGTCAGCTGGATGTACCTGCACCCCACTGAGACTCGAAACCAGTACCCATCGCTTCAAACGCCAAAGCGTTACCCACTAGGATGAAACGTACGTCCTGGATTCCACCGCTAGTCACCACGATAAATACATTACAAATACCCGGTAGGATCGAGGCATCCACATAGAAGCCCATCTGCTAACAGAGGTGGAGCGATTCGGCCCTGTATAGCAACGGGAAATTACAAGTATTAAAGCAACCATAATGTGACTTTATTATCTGGAATTCGAGTCATTTACATATGTACACGACAATATATCCATGAACTAACTGCTGGTAGCATTTCATAAGCTTAATTCGCTAATCTCACTACGATTGATGTCTGCTTTAATTTCATTTTGCATTCACTCCTACTATCTAGTTATTTTACAAACATCTAGACCATAGTTTTAACGAATGTCATGGAAGGAGTTGAGTACCGGGTCTAACTGAATCATTGTAGGAATATAATCTAGTATAATCCCAGCGTGTTTAGAAAATCAAGACAAGATATTTCTGAATGTTTTGCGGTGTAAGCCACAGCTTCTTCAGCAGAATAAGCGGATCCGTATATTCTGCTGAAGAAGCTGTGGCTTATACAGCAAAACATTCAGAAATATCTTCTTTTGATTTTCCAAACACTCTGGGACTATATCAAAATATATTCTTATGATGAATCTAATTATCTATTCATTTGTTAAACAATTTCGACTGTGCTGTTACCACGGTCAAGAACACCATTAGGTAATACTGGTCGCACATGTGCATTTATTAATCCTTTATGAATACTTCAGGTTTGCTATAATGTATGCCACAATTACTTCACATTTGTCAAATAAACTACGTCTTCTAATTATATTATCCAAATTCATAAAAGGGACAAATTGCTTCAGGTTGTAAAAGTGTTGATATGCTGAGGAAAGTTTTAATTCTAGTAAATAAGGTATGTGTTATAAGCTGCGATGATACTAGATTCTGGAAGCGAAATCTGACTGCACCCATGAACGAATAATAACTTTCCAACTCGACCCAAATTGTATCAAGGTATCGATTGAACTGAAGAGGCTTACTTCAACTGGAAACTACAAATTTGAACAACATATTTGTTTAAAACAAGTGATCAAGATAAATCACTATCTGACTTTCAAACGACGAACAATCAATCAATGATGACACCAAGCTCATTGAGTAACCGATAAATTACTAGCAACAAGTGTACGATCGCGGTTTAATCTATTCTAAATGATTCCCAACTGATGTCAGTTTGTGATGAATACTACCTCTGTTCTAATTCAATTTTCGAGTAAACCTTTTTATATATCTCCTACAACCAGTGACAAGACATAACTTCTTAAGATACCGAATATGTATGAAAGAGAATGATTTTGAACAAAAGACAACCGTTAGGATTTCACACATATATTTCCTTGATAAAAGACCAGCAGTTGGATTAGCGTCAAACAGGATCAAGATGAGTGGAAAAATGTGATAACTAAAAGGGTCAAGAAAGAGAGTAAACGAACAAAATGATGTTCTCAAAAGTTTTAGCATATTCAAAGTAAGTTTGAGCAATTGTTATCGGCTCCCCCACACAAGGGTATGTCTAGTAGTAAAACCTCACCTTCAAACAATAAATTAGTTTAAGAGTTTTCATACCAAGTAAACTATTTTTGATTTTAAAGTTTAAGCTAACCTTTCTCTGATAACAGAAGCTCAAGAAACAGGTGTTTCAAACAAAGCCACTGACCGGAAAATAATGATAAGCACGATGACGTGTTTATACAGTAGCCAACTCTAAAGTAACCTACATGAGAAGGAAAACGTTTTGGATCAAGACATGTATGACCGCCTTACGCTATTTAACTTGTCATTATGATTCAATATGAACTGGACGAAAATATCACAAAAGACTTTGTTTAACTTCGAGGTCTGAAAGTAAAACAACCCCTCAAAAACGAATAGAATAACTAACTTACTACATATTTTACTTCGCAGTACGTGATAAACATCTGCCACATGAAAATCAATCCCAATACTTAGGTCGATATCAATGACACACATAGCTCACTTATCGAGACGTGTTTGCATTGAGTAGCCACAGTAACAAGCTACCTAGCCAAACAGATCTTAAAAAGCATAAAAACCAAGTCAATCAGTGATCTGTGAAAACAATGACTCATTGGTAAACTCTTTCAGTGCAACATTAAGTGACGTGGCTTCGAATCTCTGAAAGAGCATTAAATTCAACAAGATCGCCGATACGCCTTGCCAACGATTATTAACAATCGCAAAACCTGGATACAAGGATTTGTCTACTGTCCCCAACCGCCTAAAATTAACTATATTGTAACGCGATAGTTAGTCTTCCAGATAGGCGACCGTATTGGGAAACTATCGATATAGTTTGGCGAGCACTTGGAACACAAAAAAATTGATTTGATATTAGTGACTAATAAATGAGTAATAATGAAAGTGATTACCACACTTTCTAAAACCAGAAAACAAATGAAAATAACACACAAACTAACCAACTCTGCTTCTAATGCAGCCAAAAACTTGGCAGGTAATGCATGCTTTGGACGAGTTCGAACATTGGCAACGTCCTCTGCAATCAACTGGTCGTGTACATCTAAAAGTCGATCCACACTAACCAATGCTGAGAAGTATGATTCATTGGATGATATAAACTCATTTGATGAAAGTAATGAATCCGGTATAATTCGGTGTTCCGAAAAACCAGAACTTTTAGTGACGGAAGCATTTGTTTCGCATAATTTTGTCTCTATGTACTTTCCTTCTGTTTCTAAATTCGAATGGTTTGTTGATGATGACAAAGGGAAAAGTCTGGATTCCCCATCTAGAGCTACTGGTGTATCAGAGGATACAGAAGTAGAAAGAGAAGGAAGAGGTGTTGTAGACATAGTTGTTGGTGCTGCTACTGTAGCCAACTGAGGATCGCTTATATCGTCAAAGGATTTCCTGCATATGGGACAGTTAGCGTTCTGTTCAATCCATAAATACAAACAGGCAGTATGAAATATATGGCCGCATGGAAGTTGACAAGATTTGCTCATTCCTTCCCAGCAAATGGAACAGTTTTCCTTGAACTAAAATGAAGGGGTAAAATAATCGGTAAATACAACACGAAAGATAATTAGGACGAAAACTCCTTAGAAGAACTGTAGGTATATGCGTCAGGCTGCACACCAAGTCTCTTGTATAGAAATTAACGATAAAGACTGGGACTCAACTCCAGAACCTAGGTGAGATGGGTTATGAATCCATAAAGCATTTTTTGGATTGTTAAGTACCTAAGTCAATGAGAGACAGTCTTATTTACTACAGTAAGTAAACCAGTTTAGCTGAGAATTAATCAGAAAGCGAAAACAAAAAATAGGGCAGTAGTATCCGAAAACCCTCAAACTCAGTGCCCTGAATGATTGTTTATTATGGTAAACAGAAATCATTATTAATTAAAGTCAGTAGAACCATTGAAAAACACGCAGCAATGGAAAATCGTCTCATTTTTTATATCAACTAGCGATGTAAACTGTGATCATTCTAAACATGCAACATGAAACAGTGAACCTCCTTTAGAGTCGCTACCAGTAAAATCAGATATAAACTCGTCAAATTTTTTGTTGTTGTTGTACGAAGAGGAAAGATTTGTTGTACCTTTTAATAGGGTCATTTGAAGTAGTTATTCAAAACTTGCAAACACGAAGCGTTGAGAAAGATGATTCATTATGTAATCGACAACAATATATAATCTATTATCGCGTCACAAAGCAATGGTCACCGACTGAGGAAACTCAGTAAATTTATTTTCGGAAAAGCAAAATGCACAATTTATTCCTCTTGGAAAGTTAGTGCATTTTTCTGTGAAGCTAACTCAACGAACAATGAATAATGGTGATTATATGTTTGTCAGTCGATACCAGAATGTGCTGATGACGGTAATACTGATTTGATGGCATTTAGTAAACCATAAATAGCAAAATTACTAAAATCTATTAGTTTGAACACCACAATATCAAACTCAGGTTAAATGTAACATGGCGGTTTCAAAGACCCAACTTAATAAATGAAGATGTGAGACATTACAGATTATCTGATCTGATAGAAAAACTTGTCACAGCTGATGATAGTCTCATATATATAACCTAAACTCCTGACTAATTTCAAAACTTGTTACTAGGACTTAGTTCAACTAACATTTATTTTCTGGCCTACGGCCAGTCCTTATCAGCTCCTTGGGATACATAGCTGTAAAACATGCAAAACATAATTTAACCACGTCGTTCCATGAAATGTAATTACTTCAGCTAGTGATATCTCTTTTGTCCAGGAACTAGTCAACTAAAATATCGTTAACAAAAAAAATTGTTGTGAATGTAACAGATATATTAACGAGAGTGAGGCGAAACATCAAAACCAAGTCACATTATGACTCTGTGACCATGTTCTCATCAGTTAGAAAAATCAGAAGCGTGGATTAGCTGTAGAAAATCAGTCAACCAAGTTATCAACAACATCAAACCTGGCAATACAGCGCAACGGTCCAAGTTGCCACATCTCACAACAACACATCAAGATATAAGGTAGCGAAATGAAAGATGGAGAAATGGAGAAAGTGTAAATGGATTTGTAGAAAGTCAGTAGAATAGAGGGAAAAGTAAATTACAAAACGTGATATGAAGATTAGAATGCTGATAACATAAATGGGTCTGATCTACTGAGAACGATTCTGAGACATACTATACGATCCAACCACCAACTTCCATCGTCATGTAGACCACAGCCCAGAAGTCTGAATTTTTACACAGTTCAGATTACTAATCAGGAACTACATTAACTGACGTCGCCATAAAAGGAACAGCTGCAGGTAATGTCATTAAATGTATTTCTACCCAAATTCTAAATAGTCATTTTATTGGTAATAATATCTGGATTGACAAAGATACTGAGATTGTGCTGATCCTCTGTATACATCTAGCTGCGGGATAATGTGTCACGCATGACAAATTACCACTTGCACTGATGCATCGTGTTGACTAGAGGAGCAATGAGTTAACGTGTATTTGAGCAGATAGATCAGTGAATAGCTAAAAAGTTTCTGACGATTCGTTTAAACTGCATGAAGAACAGGCTATTTGACTTGGATTCTTAAGATGTTAGGAACCAGTGACTGACGAATATTAGTAGTACAACATAAAGCTAGCTACAGTATTACAGACGTAAACTCATAATCAATTCAGAAATGTCTTAAATTTTGAGTGATATTTGTCAACTTTATTCTCTTTCCACCCACTCGGTCTCATACAATTTAATATCTTTTTGTCCAGTTTATTTTTATGCTGTTGTAATAATACGGCAACGTGAGCTGATGCAATTGTGCATAAAGTTCCGCTTTGATTTTACAGTCCGATAAATGTTACGGCGAAGTTATACTCATAAAAACATGACTCTAATCACAAATACAACATCATCATCATCATCATTATCAACATAGGACCAGGCATTACTGCGTAACGGTCCGAGTTGCCACACCTCATATCAGCACATCAAGTAAAAAGGTAGTGAGGTGAAGGATGAAGATAAGTGAATGCAGTCAAAAGAAATATAAAGTACGAGAAGAAAGGAAAGAGGAGTGACAAAATAGTGAGATTCGGTATAGCGTTGTTAAGATGAGGATAATGTGTGTATACATCTGCGCCACTGACTTCGGTTCTGAGCCATATCACCTAGGGTCTCCAACCACTGGTTCCTCTTGTCCCGTGGACCCCAACCACCTAGTCTGCATCGTCCTACATGGCTTAAACCAACAGTCAGAGACTTCATACATTGGTGCCATGTTTTAGTCTGGCCACCTCGGGCCTTTTTCCAGCCTGAACCCACCTCAGCCAACATTGTGTGACGAGGCAATCGGTGACTAGGCATACGTAGTACGTGTCCCAACCATCTCAGTCGATGAAGGTTCACAACCTCGTCGACTGACTTACCTCTTCTCCCTAAAACTCTACACCTAACTTCTGCATTACTCACATGGTGACACCACGGAATACGTCCTATACTACGAAGGCAACGGTGGTCAAATACCTGTAACCTTCTCATGTCTTCCACTTTCAATGGCCATGTTTCACAGCCATACAGTAGAACAGAGCGGACTGCTGTGCAGTACACGCGACCCTTAATAGACAAACGAATATCACGGCGGCGCCATAGGTGGCGCAAATTGGCAAAAGCCAATCGAGCCTTTTGTATCCGTGCAGAAATCTCATCGGCAACTAACCCACCGGGTTGATCCTACTTCCCAGGTAAGTGAAGTGGTCAACACACTCAACCACTTCACTCTCTATTGTTAACCGCGGTACCGCTGAAGACCAGTCCTGGAGCAAAAATTTGCATTTGGGTGGTGAAAATCGCATCCCAAACATTCTCAAATTCCCACTCAAAGTGTTCAGAAGACTCTGCATCTTGTCAGCGTCTTCACCTAACAGGACTATGTCATCTGCATATTCTAGATCTAAGGAAAATTCACCTGTGATCGGGTCAACGTCTTTGTAATTAGGTGACGAGAGGGAAACCTCCATAAGAATATCTATGATAAAATTAAATAAGAATGGGGATAGTGGGCATCCTTGACGGACACCACTTGATGAGTATAGCTCCCTGGACAACTCACCATAGGCTCTAACATGCCCACAAGTGTTCGAGTAGAGAGCTTTCAATAAGGTGATGTACTTACTAGGCACGCCTTTCAGTGACAGACACTGCCATAAGACTTCTCGATCAACGGAGTCAAATGCCGCCTTCAGGTCGAGAAATACAGCTATTGTCGGGCGTCTGTAAGCATGCCTATGTTCCAGGACCTGGCGCAGTGTGAATATTTGGTCGATACATCCACGGCCAGGTCTAAAGCCTGCCTGGTTTTCTCGGGCTTGCTGTTCCCGAGCTCCACTCAGGCGTCGGAGAATTATAGAACTTAGGATCTTAGACACTATGTTTGTCAGGCTGATTCCTCTGTGGTTATCACAAGAGGACTTCTCGCCTTTCTTGAAGACTGGGATGATGAGTGACTTAGACCAGTCGGAGGGGATCGTATTTGATTCCCATATACTGGCTAACACTTCCGTTAGCCTGACTAAGAGAACTCTACCACCATTCTTGTATACCTCAGCAGGTAGTCCGTCTGGTCCTGCTGCCCTTCCCCGTTTCAGGCTACCTACCGCTTTCTCAACTTCTTCTAGTGTTGGGGGACCTGTCTCTATGTCCCATTCAGGGTCCGACTGGATAGCGGGCAGCGCAATGGTGGCTGGAGGCCAGTTAAACTGTTCCTCAAAGTGTTCTGCCCATCGTCCCAGTCGCCTTCCCTGCGAGTGAATCGCCGATCCGTCCTTCTCCGCTATAACCTCACTAACTGTTGTTGACCATTTCCCCCCAGTCTCCTTAATAAGTCTAAATAACTGTCTACTGTTACCGATCGCCGCTGCCTTTTCCATCTCTTTAGCCTTTGCTGCCCACCACTGTTCACGATCGTTGCGCAGACTTTTCGTCAGTTTATTTTTAAGTTGCGCTCGCTCTTCATTGTACTCAGAGCCTGCAGGGATGCATTCACGTGCATCCATTAGTTTGGAAGAAGCTGCTGATATCCACTGGCTCTTTTTAGCCATTATCTTGGAGTCGGCTACAGTCTCCAGTGCTGCTTTTACAGTAGACTGAAGATGGCACCAAGCTTCTTCTGGATGAGTGACAGTCTTTTGTTCCGATAACTGCCTAGCCAACTTCTCACTGAACACGGCTTTGGTGTTTTCGTTGTCCAGCAGAACTCGTAGTGGTTTTGTTGCCAAATTTTTTCTACGTCCATTGAGACGCAGGCATATACGTGCTCGGACCAACGCATGATCGCTGTCCAAACACGTACTCCAGAAGGAGCGGCAGTCTTCCACCGATCCTCTCCAGCGATGACTAATAGCAATGTGGTCTATCTGTGTCCATCGCTGAGTCGAGCTCGGTGGACGCCAGGTCAGACAGTGCCTTTCTTTATGTCTGAAATTTGTGCTGGCTAAAAATAGGCGGTTATCTGAGCATAGTTGTAATAGGCGATCACCGTTATCTGTACGTTCAGCTGGGATTCCGAAAGTGCCACCTAAGTGCCTTTCTGCCTCACTCAGTCTACCCACCTGTGCGTTGAGGTCACCTGCAACAACCACTACGTCCGAACGTTTGGCTTTCGAGAGGAGGTTAGACAGTTTATGGTAGAACTCGTCCTTCACTTCATCCGAACTACAGTCAGTGGGTGCGTAAGCAGAGATTACAAAGAGACAACGGCGAGTCTCACTATTCCTTTTAGTTCTCACTGTGCCGTTCAGCCTCATAGCGCAGAGGCGACTATCAACTGGGATCCAGTCTAGTAGTGAGTTTTCTGCCCTGGTGCTTAATGCTATACCTACACCTGCAAGACCACGAGAGCTAGCTATCGAATCTCCAGAAACTCGAAGGGTGAATTTTGCAGATTCACCAGATTGGTCAGGAGAGGTCAGGTGAATAACCACACTTGGGTCCTGTATGCGTGTCTCACAAACACAGCACACATCCATGCCCGAGTTGCTAGAGTCTTTGCCAACGAAGCCTGTTGGCCAATTTGACGGAGGGTGCGGACATTGAAGGCTCCAATATGTAATTTGGAGCGTGGTTTAAGGAGACCAGGGATGCTGTTCTGTGGACTCAGATCGTTGTCGAAGGCTGCAGAGGTAGGAGAAATTGAAGATGATGCAGCATCATTAATTAAGAGACGTGAAGGAAGATTAGAAGGTAATGATGGAGGAGGAGGATAGCAGTCAGAAGAAACTTGGGTGCTGACAGAGTTGTGAGGGCGGTTGACACTTCCCGGCTGCCCACACCGTGGAAGGCTATTTCTTCTTAAGGTACCTGAAAGAGATTTGTGTGACCGCAGAGCCCATCGGACATCTGCTTGAGGCCTGTCACACCCAGCCTTTTGAGTATGATTATTTTGAATTTTTGTATTTTTGGGGCCGGATGGTCGAAAGGAAACGACAAGTGAACCAACACCGCCGGCCCGGCAGACCGTGGGGCGTGGTGGAGTGTGTTATTTTTGGGGCCGACCTTTTCTAACCCCCCCTTCCACTGAGAAGGCAGCATCAGCATGGCACTGCTGGTCATCCAAGGGAAACACCTTACTGCTGTCACACCCCATCCAGCTAGCAGCAGTACGACTTCGCCCTCAGACCCCCATCATAGTGTAGCAATTTACACTATAACGGTAACTGCTTTTCGTCTAACCACTACCCAACAGACCTTTCTGGTATGGTAGGACCTCGAGGGAACAAGCGTTCCACCAGCATAGCTCGTTGGGTCATTGTGATATGCAAGCCCGACCACCACGTCAAGGTAGCAGCTATCGACGGCTATCAACACTATAAGGGTGTTTACTAGGTGAGGTAGAATTTAAGTTTCCAAAAATGATAAGGAAGTGTGCAAAAAAAATAACCAGAAGTCTTAACCCCAATAGGACCAATAGGTATCCCGCAGTAAGTTAGGACATTACATGCAATCACCTTAATAACTACAATTAAAATAAACGGATACATATATGTACAACCGACAGCTGCTACACTTATGTGATGATTGGCGTTACATATCACAATGACTCAGAGAGCTAAATTAGTTTAAAAGATTGTTTTATCAGGTCCCACCATACCAGAAAGGCTTATGAGTTATTGTTAAGACTGAAGATAGTTGCCATCAGCGCAAACACTAAGGTGGGAGTTTAAGGGTAAAGTCGTCCAGCTAGCTGTACAGAAAGCAATAGAGTCATCCACATGAGTAAGTAGCAGTTCATGCTGATGCTGCCTTCTCCTAGGAAGGTCGGTTATATAAGCAGTATACCTTGATCTCAATTTTCTGAAGCCGTTTGCATGGAATTTTCTACTAAAGGTGTAACACAATCAGTCAGGATATGAAACTCCTAAAAACGGTTGCATATCACCAGTCTCAAGAAGATTACCACTAGGGTCAGCAGCCACACACGAGTGTCACAAAGACACCCATATTAATACATTCTTTTTCATGTGCCTAAAGAAGAAACGACTTCCTGGGGTGTGGTGGTATCCAATTGGACTACAAAATGAACATATGAGATCTCAAGAGGGTTATATACCTATTTATTTACGACTGAACTTTCCAAAGGCATACACTACGCTCAAAGTTGGGTAAAGAAGGTGATGAATGAACCCTAAAATCAGTAGCATGCAGTTGAAAATTTAAACCACGGAATATCTATGATAAATACATTGCAACCGTAGACAGAACAACTCATGCAAAAATATTTTCACAAACTAAAGTCATTTAACATTACACAGAAAGGCGATTAACTGAGAACTCACACATATGTACCAGGTGTTAAAAAAAACCACTCACATTTAAATAAATAATTCGGGAATCCAAAATCCTCAATAGAGTTCTATAGCGCTTGTGGTGCACGAAACGCCTGGACACTTTGTAATACAAGTGCTGAAGGTGTAAAGCAATAATGATACTAGACATATTTCTCTGCAGTTTATTCCAGAAAAGCATGTGCATATTATGTAACAGATCTCCAAAATCGGCAACTGAATCGTACACCAATTCCGTGTAGTAAATAAGGACAAACCGATGATACACTTTATCTCTCTCAGTACATTGAGAAGCAAGTTCACAGTATAAATAAACCACGTACCAGGTGATCACATGCACTGTAACTATCATCAGCTGGAATACTTCGGCAAGCATGAAAAACATTGTGTGGAGAGAATGCTTGGCACCCACGACGATCGATATAATCATCAAAAAATTACTGAGAAGCAATAGTAAACAACATAAGAGAAATATTCTGGCTTGATAAGTGAGAGAGGAGTCTGAACAACGTAGAATATACTGAGAACGATCTCTGATCAGCCCAGTGAGGAGACGCAGAAAACCAATAATAGAAAACCATGTCGCCCATAACAAAAGTTCATAAAGTGCTTCGACATGTAGGATACCATAGATAAAAACCACTTTGTAAAAAATAAAACTAGAAAAATTCTCCCTGATATGCGAATCTTCAGCGCTACGAAGCTGACCGAAAAACAAATTCTGCAACTCTCTGGCAGAGCATATTAGCAAACAATATCCAAAGTTTATGACACTCCAAAAACACCAGCTATCCTCTAGACAGGTATTCAATGCTTGATATGGATAATTCAGGGAGGTAGAATTTATGAAATCATCAGATTTCACATTCTTGGAAACTTGGTAACACACATGCAAAGCAGATCCCAATAATGATACTGTGGTATAGATGACATATGTAGAAAACTTCGGCAACGGAATCCGTTCTAAATTCCAGGCTTGCATGTATAAATGTACCGTACTTATTATACTTAGTTAGTCGTTTTATGTCCAATATCCATTATTAAAGTGGTTCAAATAGTTAATGACAAAAAAAATCTCGCGTAACTGACTTCTGTGTCTAGAACCAATGGATCTCTACCTCCTGTGGTTGTAAACCTGGGCTCAAGTAAAAACAGAGCGAAATGTGGCGGTCAAAATTTGGAAATCCTGTTAGATCCGAGTCAGCTACCACTCCCATAATAAATGTGCATCAAGTCGACATCTAAAGGAGTCAAGTAAAGTAGTATGGATCAATCCTGATGTATGAGCCCTACAGGGCCTACCAATCCTTAAGAGAAGCTGTGTCTGATAAAAAACCTGCTATGATCTAAGTTTAGTTATTGCATTTGTTCTCTAAGATTGTGAACAGAAATAAGATACAAATAATAATGAAGAAAGTGTTCAAAGGAGATCAAGATGTTGCGAACCAACACTCGATCCTCTATTGGTTCCATCCATTCTGGGAAACGGATTACCGTCAAAGATAGCTCCGAATATTTAGACGTAGGAGAAGAAAAACCAGAATAGTTTACGGCGTCACAAAATTTCCCAAATCAATGGCCTAGGGTTTGACGACATTCAACATTGATACCGACCTTGATAGTTTAACTGGACTCGTTAAGCTGAAGGCACCCGCTCAAGCATCCTCACCATTTGGCACGCTGTCGTGTCACGTTGCACTGCTCGTATTCCACTCTCTAGCCAGTTGGTTGAAACGCATCGATATCTTGGCACAACCATCCAAATATATTATTCCATCCGACTGCGCTATCGTGTTCTTCCTTGGTCTCGTATTTGTGGGCATATAACAAGTCCGAATAATTAGTGATTTGTCTTTGTGTCTGTCAAGTTCGCATCAGGACAAATCCCAAATTGGTGAACCCAACGTGAAAAAATATCCCAACCAATAACAAATATTGAATTGGTGAGCCTGTTCCATTTTATATCTGTATTCTGTTTTCATTTCGATAACATTTACATATCCATTTACTACACTTTCTAATGTCCCACCACACTCCCAATCTTATTCGTATCAAACCGACTACGAACATGATCCAACTCGTGCCATGTCGGCGAGACAATGCGGAGACGTGGTTTCTGTATGCCAAGGCCGATTTTCGAGAACAGGGCGTCTCAGACAATCATCCTCGATTTTTTGCTGTCATACGGTCACCATCGCGGGAATTAAACAGACATGTTACGGCACACATGTTTAATCCTGAAGTAAGTGATCCTTATGCACTTCTCAAGGCCGCACCCTTGAAAAAAAACGATCTCACAGATCGCCAGTGCCCAGACGAATTACTTCGTAACATCGAGCCAGGCAGCCACTCGGCTACTGAAGTCCTCGCACGCATGCGAGAAGTAATCGGCGCACGAACATTCGGCGATGGCCTCTTCCGAGAACTATTTCTCCCAAAACCACCACAACCGGTGCAAACCGTGTTGGCGACACTGCAGTCAGTCCCACTCGATGACCTGGCAGCCTCGGCAGATAAAATACTGGAGATTTCTAGCAGACCCGTCTCCAACGTACATTCTGTCTGCAACAAACCAGAGCGTGAGGAGTCAGAGGTGACCAAGCTGTGCAACTCTTTTAAACAGTTGCTACGATCTAGAAGTTTTAGTTCACATAGAACTCCACAGAAACGAGTCTTAGTGCATTGCAGCAACTTTCAGGGTTGCCCCAAAACTAAACCTAACGGAGTGGAAAACCCTAAATGGTACTGGTTTCATAACACTTACGGAGACGAAGCCAGAAAATGTCGGAAACCATGCAGTTTTAACAAGGACACAAACTCGGGAAACGGTGACGCCGGCACGTGTTCACGGCAACCGTAGCCGGCGGAAACAGCGGTTTGCTCTACGTCACGGATGTAGAAACAAAAGTTCACTACCTCATCGACACCGGCGCAGAGGTGGGCGTCCCTCTCGCACCGACAAAGGAGCGTCATTATGACCCATCCCTCATTCTCCAAGTAGCCAACTGCAAGGCAGTCACGACGTTTAGGAGACAGTATGCCTACCTCAACTTAGGTTTACGTAAACCCATCCACTGGATTTTCCTCCTGGTTGACGTCTCCATGCCCATCATTGGCATAGATTTGCTAAACCATTGCGATTTACTCGTAGATGCTCGCCGTCGACGTCTGATATATAACAACACGAAGTCATCTATTGGCGGCACCACCTATGTAGGTCCGAGTTTAGCCGTCGTTAGGAGTAAACAGTCAGGCGACGCGTCCTACCAAGCAGCTCCGGAGAAATATTCAGAGTTGCAACAACCGAAGCACACTCTTTCGTGCATAACCAGCAATGTTATGCATCACGTGACAACCACAGGTCCACCTGTGGCATCCAAAGCGCGCCGTTCGGCCCCCGATAAGCTCAAAACGGCGGAAAGCGAATTTGACCACATGCTCGAACTGGGCATAATCAGACCGTCAAACAGCCCTTTGGTATTATCATTACAAATGGTCCCCAGAAAGGATAGCAACGACTGGCGTCCTACCGGTGATTACCGAAGGCTTAACGCCAAAACAACTCCCGACTGCTACCCGATTCCTCACGTTTACGATTTGACTGCAACCTTATGCAGAATGGACATTTTCTCCAAAATCGATTTGGTCAAAGCGTACAACAAGATACCTATGGCAGCAGAAGATATCGTGAAAACAGCCATTATTACTCCTTTTCGCCCGTTTGAACTCCTGCGCATGCCATTTGGTCTTCGGAATGCAGCACAAACATTCCAACGCTTTGTGGATGATGTCTTCCGTGGTTTGAATCTTGTTCATGTCTACATCGATGATCGTCTAATTGCGAGTCCAGATAAGGAAATTCACCTTAGACATTTTGGACCTCGTATTCGAAAGACTTGGAAAACATGGCATCACAGTCAACTCACAGAAGTGTGAAATAGGAGTCGAATCACTCAGCTTCCTTTGGCATGCCATTGACAACAAAGGTATACACCCATTGAGAGATGAAGTGGAGGCTATCACGAACTACCCAGAGCCAACCACTGTGAAACATCTCCGCGCTTTCCATGGCCTGGTAAGTTATTACCGAAGGTTTATCCCCAACTGTGCCTCTGTCATGAGACCGCTGACAGATCTACTTTGAGGGACCATGAAGCTCGTGACCCTGGACAACGTAGCCAGACTTGCTTTCTCCAAAGTCAAGGAGGCCATCTCAAACGCAATTATGCTCGCGCATCACGACACCAATGCGCCTTTGAGTATTGCTGTTGGCGCATCTGATTCAGCGACTGGAGCAGTTTTCCAACAGTTGACTGACAACCAGTGGTAACCATTAGCCCTGTTCTCGAGGCGGCTACAAGACGCAGAAACGAGATACAGTACATTTGGTAGGGAACTCCTAGCTATGTGCTGTTCCGCAAGCCACTTTCGACATTCGGTGGAGGACCGTGATTTCATTATTTTCACAGACCACAAACCGTTAACCTTTTCCCCCAGCTCGGCGTCTGACAATACTCCCCGCATGAGTCACGACGGCTGGATTGCATTTCCCAGTTCACGTCAGACATCCGCCACATTTCTGGAGCGAATAACTCCGTAGCCGATGCACTATCTCGAATAGCTTCGATAAACCATATCGAGGGCGTTGATGTCGTTGAATTAGCTCGGCGTCAAGAGGAAGACCTTGAGCTGCATCATGAGTTGTCGTCCACAACACTCAAGCCGCGATTGTGTCCGGTTGGATCAGACAAGGATACAATTTTGTGTGATGTCTCTGCTAGTTAGCCATGCCCAACAGTTATGAAGAGTTGTTGGCGCAACATATTCAGTACGTTGCACAAACTCCCTCATCCAGGTGTACGATCCACCATTAGGCTTATCGCACAACGTTTCTGCTAGCCTGAGATGAACAAAGACGCTAAGGAGTGGGCTCGGTCATGCTCAGCTCGCCAAAAGTGCAAAGTTAGGTGACACGCGAAGAGCCCTCTAGGCTCTTTTATAGCCCCAGACATGCGTTTCGACCACGTCCACATGGATGTTGTAGAACCCCTACCAGAATCTGATGGATGTACCTACCTTTTCACTTGTGTTGATCGTCTCGCACGATGGCCGGAAGCAGTACCTATTAAGGATATTACTGCTGAAACAGTAGCTGGTGTTTTCGTTGAAAGATGGATCGCGAACTTCGGATGTCCATCTTACGTCACTACCGACCATGGGCGTCAATTTGAGTGTGGATTATTTCACGCTCTAACGGCACTTTTAGGTGGCACCCGTTTCCGAACGACGGCCTACCATCCACAAGCAAATGGCATGGTAGAGCGTTTCCATCGACAGTTGAAAGCTTCCCCTTCAGCTGCAAACATACTCCAGTGGATCGAGGCTCTGCCTTTAGTCCTACTAGGTGTTCGTACCACCTTGAAAGTTGATGCCGGATGTACCCCTGCAGGACTCGTCTATGGGACCACTCTTCACCTGCCAGGTGAGTTTGTTTCTCCTTCAACTTCCAAGCGTGTTTCCGAAAGGGCATCGTACGTGACCATGGACAACCTCACGCAGTTAGCCCATCAGAAGCGTTTTACCAGTGGAAATACCACTGGGTTTTTACTTCCGGCTGGTATCGTCTTAGGGTCCTCACGAACCCACTAGGAGAAGAGTGATCTGTAGCGTCACACACTTTCCCAAATCAATGGCCTAGGGTTTGACGACATTCAACATTGATACCGACCTTGATAGTTTAACTGGACTCGTTAAGCTGAAGGCACCCGCTCAAGCATCCTCACCATTTGGCACGCTGTCGTGTCACGTTGCACTGCTCGTATTCCACTCTCTAGCCAGTTGGTTGAAACGCATCGATATCTTGGCACAACCATCCAAATATACTATTCCATCCGACTGCGCTATCGTGTTCTTCCTTGGTCTCGTATTTGTGGGTAGATAAGAAGTCCGAATAATTAGTGATTTGTCTTTGTGTCTGTCAAG